AGGTTACTTTCAAAAATGCCATGGTACAAACATAGTAGTATCAATCATGACATTTTTTTTCTGCAAAAGCCATCAGTTTAGTTTTAGTTTTGTTGGGCTAATGGAAATTTCCACTACAAAATATACTGTGGTGATACTATGTATCAGATGATAATACCATGGCATTTTCATGCTACTCCAAAGTACTTTTAGTAATATCACACTATTGTCACTGTGCATGTACATACTATGTACTTATTATAGTGATTACAATAACTGGGTAATAACTAGACTAACCCTTGACCTACCCCTAAACCTAACCTTAACCCATGTTGTTACATTATATTACTAGTACTAGTACTACATTGTAAGTGCATGTAAGTACACATACTGTAAAATAAAATGCAACCGTTAGTAGTAGTAATTGTGGGTACTTTACTGTTAGTCATGGCAATACCATGGTACTGAATGATTACTATATTCATATACCATGCTATTGAAATTATACCGAAAGATACTTAAGAGAATATCATGGTACATACTGAAAAGAAAACATTGCATTACCACGGTACCATGTCCAAAAAACATGTGGTACTTTTTCGTTAGTATCAACAAACAATTTTTGTGGTTGAATCAATTTCACAACAATTTGGCTTACTGTAATTTAAATTTGCCAAACATGATACTTAGAGTATTATTATTATTATGGTACATGTAAGTACATTAATTTAGTTTTTGTGTTTTTGGGCTTATGGAAATTTACCCTACAAAATAAACTGTGGTGGTACCATGGTATGAGGTGATAATACCATGGTATTTTCCTTGGTACTCCAAACTACTTCTAATAATATCACAGTATAACTTTTCTACATGTGCAAGAGCCATGTTAGTAGCATGGTAGTTTTGGGTACATGGTAGTACCATGGTACTGAATGATTACCATATTCATATGTCATACTACCGAAATGATACCTCAGAGAATATCATGGTACATACTGAAAATAAAACATGGTATTACCACAGTACCATGCCCAAAATAATAATATCATGGTCCTACAGTACTATGTGTCCAAAAACCATATTAGTAGCATGGTAGTTTTGAGTACTTTTTTGTAAGTCATGATACTTTGACATGTACAGTACCATGGTATTGAATGAATACCATAATCATATACCGTGATACTAAAACGATACCAAAAGAAACTTTCTTAGAATATCATGGTATTACTACCACAGAGCTATGTCAAAAACAACTGATTAAACCATGGTACTTTTTGTGTAAGGAAAAACAGCATTCCCGACCCCAGTGTAAAAAGAGTGAGTCTTAGATACCCATCTCTTGGCCGCGGGTCGCGGCTCTTAGCACTAAGCTAATAGGAGCGTTCCTTTTATCATGATGCAGGAACCCGATACTGCGGATGAAATGTGGGGCACGAGCAGCCTGCGCTGCTCTGTCAACCAAAACACCTGGCATCACCCTTGAGCTGCCCATGTTAGCCGGTCAGCCGAGGAAGGTCATTAGCTGTGTGTGTGTATGGAGTAATATAGATCTAAATTATGCTTCATGTATATACGCGTACACACACACACACACATACACACACACACACACACACACACACACACACACACACACACACACACACACACACACACACACACACACACACACACACACACAGTGTACTCATGATTTACAAATACACATTTGAATATATACTTTTAGATCTAACTATATATTCAGATTTACATTATTTTGAATTATAACTATGTTTGGCCCTTCATAAAATACAGTATATACAGTACATGTGTGTGTGCTCACAAAATTTGATAACTTACTGTATGCATCTGCAGGCTAAGACCGAGGAATTCTGGGAACCTGAACAAAAACCCATGGATGAACAGTTAGTCTGAGCATTAGCAAAACATTGACACTCCAGCATGTTTATACAATACTGATGATTGAACAAGATTTGCAGTGTCAGAATTGCAGAAGGATTGGAGATGTTCAGCAGACTACTATTTTAGTGACCACTAGATTTATGAGTCAAAAGCAGGCCAGATGTCTTCATGCTCGCTATAAAACAGGTGTGCTCTTAGCAATTACATGACATAGTAGTGACTGAAGGCACTTACGTGCAATATTTAAAGCAGGTGAAGGGCAGGTCAGTGCTTTCCTCTTCCAAACGCTCTAGCTGGTCCGTTCTGAGGCTCCGCTGATAACGTCTCACTGGAGTCTCTTATAATGGCAGCATAATGAAATGAGCAAAATCCACTCAACTGGCCAGATTAGCTCAGATACGAGACTCGCCAATGAAAGGAGGGGACATAATTGAAATAAATGAGTGATGACGGTGAAGGACAAGATGACAGAGGGATGAAATGTGCATTTCATTTTCATAGTGAAGTCATTGGGAGCTTTGAGGCCATTAAGAATCCTGTTGGGAATGGCACATCATTAGTATATTAAAATTTGTTGCAGTGAGAGGTCCAATACTTCAAAATTAATAGTCAAACTTTCATGTACTAAATATGAATAAAGGGGCCATAAGCTACTTACATATACACACCCATTTCAGTATAATTATTGTTAACCGGGAAGAAAAAAAAAACATTTGGCAATTAGCTGAAAAAAAAAAAAAAAAAAAAAAAAATTATATAAATAAAAAAATATATAAAT